AATTTACAAAGCGGAATTTTTTTAGGAAGGAAAATCTAGTAGCTAACCAACTCTACACCATTAGATCTCCATTATAGAAATTTCATTGCATAAAAGTAGGTCCAAACATACAAGCAAGATGCTAAACAAGCCAAAAGCATATGGCTACCTCGCGCACGCCACTGACAGCACTTAACCCCTGCCATACCTAAGCACACCTCCCACTACGCGTCCATAAGATACTAGTATTACATTGACTAATCAAGCGCATCGCATCACGATTGCAGCCACAACTAGTACAAGGATGGCGACGCAAATAGCCATGTTTCCGACAGACACCACCAGATTGATCGATGCGGCATCCAGAGTGACGCCTGGCTGACACCGACCAACTGCCACCTCCCGCAGCAACGACCCGGCAACGTCGGTGGCCGCGGCGGCCATGTGCGGCGCCTCCGGCCCTCTGTTGTGTTGCCCCACTGCGACATTCGCCGCCTGCATCTAACCACCTTCAACTACTCCTCCGACACCGTCATCACCCGGATTGAGCTGCTCCACCAGAGGCACCACCGGTCCATGGCCAACCAAGTGCTCCAGATATGCTTCTTGCCATCAATAGAAATCACAACCTCCTCTCCCTGGCTGCAATGGATTCGCAAAGACGAATAATATTTCAACAGCAAAAAGAAACCAACATCCATATAGCCAAAAGATCCACTTACGTTGTGGTTGCGGCACTTGTAGAACCTCTCACCCGCGAACTATCCTCGCCTTGCCACAAACGTCACCACTCGCCTTCCGCAATCCGCACAAGGGATTATCTCCAACACGGGCGGATCCGCACCTTGGTTGGCGTTCGCCATGTGCTATACCTAGGCTTCTTCCTCTAGATTTTGGGGGGAGAAATGAGCAGATATGGTCGGGCAGCTGGGGCAGTCTGATAATAAATAAGGTAGCTGCACCGCACAAACACCCCTTCCCCACCATCCGTCGGTGCCTCCGTCCGCCAACGGCAACAACGTCATCCCGTTACTGTAATGTACCACTGGTACTCTTTGGCACATAATCGACCCCAAGTCCCAGACCGACGTGCTCCGTCTACTCCCCCCTCCGTCCTGTACGTACTGGAAACCGTACTTCCCCGTATGCCGCCCACGTACACCGACAACGCATTTATTACTTTCTGCTGAACGCATCCCCATAGCTAAATCGATGGTCGAAGATACCAGGAGCGCACGCGCTCGTCCTCTCCTTCGAATTTTCGGCTCTGATGGACACTACCACCATGAAGAGATGCACAACTACTATCTCTTCTCCTGATGCTTTTGCTCGTGTCCCTTGTTTCCGCGGGCGATGTGGACACCACCATTTGCCTCCCAAGCGACGGCAAAGGTGACGTCTAAACTCGAGGTTGAAGGAAGAAACTGGCAGTAGCTAATTAGCTTGTCATGGTCGTTGTCATGCAGGAATTCCTGATGAAGCAGGCATGGCGCTGACGGGGGCGAGGGAGAAGAAGGGCGGCGAGGAGAGGCCGTGTGACTGCTGCGACAGGACCATCTGCACCAGGTCAATTCCGCCGCTCTGCCTCTGCCTGGACAAGGTCGAGCGGTGCGCCGCCGCGTGCAAGCGCTGCGTGCCGGCCGAGTCTGACCCGTCCCTCCACGTCTGTCGCGACCAGTACTTCGGCGACCCCGGGCCCAGGTGCACCGAGGACGCCGCCGTTTCCTCTGCCGGCGGTAACTAGCACGAGCGTGTTAGAGCATCTCCAACAGCCGCCCAATGCGCAGCGCCCAAAAAACAAGTTTACAGCGTGCAAGTAAATTTTTTTAGGGCGCTAGAAGACGTTTGCTCCAACAAGCGCGGCAAAATATGATGCGCACGCGAGTCCAACGGTCCCAATCAAGCGGTCCCATCTGCAGCAGCCCACAGTTTGCAGCGCGCACGACCGGGCGCACTAAATATGCTGCGCGTGATGCCTTTTTGATGCGCGCGCTGCATTAGTTATAGCGCGCGCGTGCTTTTTGTGCGGCTGCTGGAGATTCCAAACCGGGTCTGCGCGCGCTAAAAGCAGTTTTTGTACCGCGCGGCGCTCATATAACGCTTCTGTTGGAGATGCTCTTAATGAATGATGATCACCCGGCCGGCCGGTCAAACTATGATGTGGTCGTCGTCGTGTCGTTCGTTTGCTAGGTCAAATTGGTTGCTCTGTAGCATGCGTGTTAGTGTTAAATTGTTTGCCCGGCCGCCTGTGGTGCCGGCGGGAAGAAGTGGCCCCGCTGGACCCCGACCGACGGGGCCGACGCCTACCGTGGTTGCTGCTACGGGTCGGGGTGGCGGTTCTGGTCCGAGACCGGTGGTGCCGGTTCCGGTTGGCGGTCAGCCTGGTGCCCCGCCTCCACCTCATTATGTCGCGAGGCCGGTTCAGAATCGTTCGGGACCTTCGCAGACGAGGCATAACTCGACAGCTAAAGATTCGTTTGACCCACCCCGAGGTCAGTGGGGGGATGATGGTGTTGATGCGTATGGAGACGGAAAGCACCGTGGTTCCTCGTCTACGAGAGGCGGTCGAGGCTATGCCTGGCAGAGTGACGGGTCTGCTGAGAGACTGTTTCTCGGACCTCCAGGTGGTTTTGTTGAGGGAGCCTCCGGTCCGGATCACCGCCAGAGAGGAGGCTACCATGGACATCGGGGTGGTCGGGGTGGTAGCCGTGGGAGGTATCGCCGTCAGCCTCCGCCCCCGGCAGCTGTTAACCATGCAGCGGCAGCCGTGGAGACAGATAATGCTCAGTATACTGATCTCACTAGCCAAGCGATGGATGTGGTGACGGTCCTGACCAATGTTGAGGTTCCTGTGACTGGGACTGTGGCTGAGGCGTCTGACAGGTCTGATGCAGAGAGGGCGTCCAAGTGGGCGCGCAAGAAGGAAAAAAATGCTTTGTTACCGCTGTGGTGAGAAGGGCCACTTCATTGCTGAGTGCATGGCGGAGCTGTGTGATTCGTGTGGCAAGCCAGCACATGCCTCGGGGGACTGCCCGTTATTGCGTGACCAGGCTCTGACAATGTATGGACTATACTGTGCAGAGCTGTTGTTCTTTGAGTCCCCGGCCGCGAGAGAGATTCTCGAGGAGACACAGAGCTTGACCACCGGGGTTGTGAAAGCTACCCTGGGGAAGGTGACTGAGGCTCAGATTGTGCGGAGGCTTCAGGAGCTGGCACCGGGTGACTTCCAGTGGGAGTTGGTTAGTCTCGAGGCCAATGTCTTTAAGGTCGATTTCCCCTCTGTGGATGATTTGCAGAGACTACTGAGCTTTGGCTTGTGTAGAGTTCCTCGTACTAAGTGTATTTTGGAGTTTCACGAGTGGACGAAGGTGGAGCCTAAGGGAAAGCCGCTTACGCAGGTCTGGTTGAGGTTTTCGGGGGCTCCATCTAAGCCTTTGCAGGATGTTCGAGTAGTGGCCAGTATGGGTATTATGGTTGGGAAGATGGAGAAAGTGGATATGGCTTTTACCCGTGCTCATGGGGTGGCCCGGATTTTAGTGAGTGTACTGGATATTGAGTTCGTGCCTGATGTGGTCAACTGGACATATAGGGGAGAGGTCTTCCCGCTCGAGATCGAGTTTGAGGACACTGACCTATTTGCTGAGGAGGTTAATGGGACTGATGTTGATATGCATGAGGATGACAGCAGTGCGGGAGCCAAGGGGGCACCGACCGATGAGTCCACACGAGAGGGGTCCAACGGTTCTCGCCCTGATGCTCAGTTGCACGGGGATGGGACCAGGGTGGAGCCGGCACCCACACCTTCGGTGCCTATGACTCCGTTGCGTTTTGGGTCTTTTGAGCCCGCCTCAGCGCCTCCCAGACTTTGGAGTGATCAGGTAGATTCGAATGATGTGTTTGAACACACGGTCCCTTTGTTGGAGTTTGAGGGTGCTAGCGGATCATCGGCTTGACGCCTGGTGAGAGCCGCGTCGGCGAGGTCTTTGGATGGAGTTGGGGAGGTGGAGCCGGAGGTCGCTTCTATCTCCCTTGCTTCACCTGTGGTCGGGGCTCCGGTGATGACGTCTTCGTTCAAGGTGGGGCTTGGGGGAGTGGGTTCAGGGCAGGTGGCCTTGACTTCTCCCCTCCCGCTCCCGACGCCGGTGACGCCGGTCACGTTGGGGTCGGCCAGCGCTGGGAGAGGGAGCCCGAGGCAAGCGGCCCGGCCCTTTTTCCTCTGGTCGTGGCGACAGCTCCCGCGCCTCCAGTGGCGCTGGGGGGGGGGGGGTTGGGGTAGGCGGCCCTGGCTCTTCCTTCCTCCCCTACGGTTAGGAGGACCGCGTCTCCTACCACGTCGGCACTTCACTCTGCGCCGGTGGGTGGGGCGGGAGGAGGGCTCGCGCAGGCGGCCCCAGCCATCCCCTCTCCTGTCGTACTCGTGGGGCACTTGTCTGAGGGGCATGGGAGCCCGCAGCCGCCTCCTCCGGTAGCCGTGGTTGACCCTTTGGGGGACTCACCGCGAGGCTTTACTAGGGAGGAGGTCTTTGCTTTTGG